GAATTTTTTTTTTGATTTGGTGCTAAATAAACATGCATTATCTTGATATAATTGAGCATCTTAATTAATGGTGTATATTCAGCATAACCATAACGTTTGAATGTGGTTACTACACAAACAGCTCTTTTTTTTGCTCCTATATTGGACACCTTAGGGACGAATTCTGTAGAGGCTTTTTTCATTCAGGAGTGTTGTCTTCTCCCGGCTACATGCACATGAGAAAGGAAAGGAAACAAGTGATAAAGTTATAACAAGTGCTAGCTAAACCCATATACTGTTGCATGTGCACAGAATAATTCTAGATGTATTTAAGGAGTGCACCATGACAACAATACCAATACAAGTGTTAACTATTGGGTTTCTTAGAAAAAATGATTTGCCCCACGTGTCGCTCCCATGCGGGTGACTCAGGTGGCGACTCACCCCTCTATGGTTAGGGCTCCGTTCCCGGCCTCTCCCCGGCCTGCCGTCACCTTGGTGTGCTCCCGCCTTTGGATCTGCATGTTTTAGGATCTTGCAAACTAGAGAGAGGCATGTGGCGACGCTTGGGCTCCAGGACCAACCAAGGAGGCCCTGGTCAAGGTGGCCGACCGCGGCCCAAGCCGCCCACGGCTCGCTTCGTTGCGAAGCTGGATCTAGTCGATGCAACCACCATCCGCGACCTCCAGCACCCACCACCACCCACCTCCACCAGCCAGGAAGGCCATGGCAGAGGTGGCCGCCCGCTGCCAGTCTGGCCGCACTGCCACCGTCCCGACGACCTAGGCGTGCCGCACCACCTGGCCGCCCGCCGCGGAGAGGCATTGGTACCCAGGCACCGCCTCTATCCGCCGCGCCACCGTGTCGCCCGGTCCCAATGCCACACTCCGGCCTAGGTCAGCGCCTACTGAGGGAGAGGACTCTTGCTCGGCCACGCCCTCGGGCAGCGACGAGGGAGGAGGAGGAAGGGGGAGCAACTAAGGGCAGTGTCGATTTAGGGTTTGCGCCTGACCGCCTCGCAGGAGTGGCGTGGGGAGGAAGAAGGGCCCCTAGAAAACTTTTGACATGGCTATCAACAATGTGAAGCCAAACAACATGCCTACTATCTTCAAAAAAGAGTAAGTACTGAAAACTCCTTGAAACCAAACTCCTGAATGTAAAATTAATTTAATACTGTATTCAACAAAAAAAATGTAACCACTCATATGCCCAGCTGTGTTCTATCTGCATTCGTCAACCACATTTGTAGGACACAAAACAAGCCTTAGCTTTCTTAGAGGTATGGTCGTACCGCATGAATTTGAAGGGGCTTCATATGAAACATTTTCACTTCTACGAAATACGAGAAAGAGTATCCCAAATTCGTATGCCAAACTATGCCAATATTTTGGAATTGCAAAAGATATATTTGAGCTTGTATGCCATCCCTGAGTTTCAAAGACTGTTTTCCCATCAAATCAGATGTATTGTCCAGTTACTAGAATTCTCAGGTCCGATCAAATAGATTATCTCATTATATACTTATATGATATTCTGTCCGATCAACACTCTTGTAGGAAACTAGGAATATATGTTGTCCAATAGAAGACACTAGCAGTGTTACCATGCTACAAGCAGAATGTTGTTACATACAAATAATCATATTGCAGGACCTCTCATTCTCTATTGAACAAAATTGTTGTTCAGTTAAAGATTCTTTTGATTCAGTATTGTTAACATGGCAGGAGATACGGAAATATGCTCAATTCCAGGAAAAAGAATAACCGAATGCTTCAGCTTATCAACTTGTACTTTCAAGATGTATGATTTCTTTTTATCTAAATATAATACTTATATACTATTTACAGATTTTCTAGAACTCCCATATCAACGCTAGAAATAGAAAATCACGAACCCTCGAATTCCAAACTGACTATACAAATATGTAAGAACTCGCTGACTTGATTTAATATGGATTGAGCAAAAGACAGAGCCGATGAGAATGTTCTTATGAGCAAATCGAATATTCTTTCATGATTACTGAAGCACATGTTTTATTGCGGTAGATCTAGGTGGATGAAAATGTTGAGAGGATATATCCAATAGAAAAATGTGGCCATGGAAGAATTTCTGTAATGAGGAAAAAAATGCTACACACCCCTTTGTACCATGTAAAATAGGATGAACCTTTATTTGCGCCTCTACTGACCCACATGTTGTTCCATAACCAAACAAGGCCCTACTTCACTTCTACAGCATCAAATTTCACAAATTATTTGGTTGGACCTAACTATAACTATATAGATTATCATGCATCCACCTAATTTTAATCGCAGTTTATGTGTTCCGTTGCCTTTGTATTTACAAGTATTACTCTATCTATTTGTGTACGATTTCTAAGAAATGTCAAATCCAGTTTTTAGTAGACGGCCAAGCAAGCTGATTCTACAATTCTGCTATATCACTAGTAGAAAAGGGGGCAAAGGTCCAGACCGGGTCAGCCCATTAGTCCCGGTTCTGTCCAGAACCGGGACCCATGGGGGCATTGGACCCGGTTCGTGAGCCCCGGGGGCCGGCCGGGCCACGTGGGCCATTGGTCCCGGTTCGTCTGGACCTTTTGGTGGGACGAACCGGGACCAATGGGCCTCACTGCTGGCCCACCACCATTGGTCCCGGTTGATGGCATGAACCGGGACCAAAGGCTGCCCTTTAGTCCCGGTTCATGCCACCAACCGGGTGCCTATATATACCCCCTCGCGTAAGAGCAGAGCACACTGCTCTGTTTTTTCTAGCCATCGAGGGGGAGAGGGCTTGGTGGTGCTCTAGCTCACCTCCTATGCACACAAGGTGTTCGATGGAATGCCCGAGCCACACTACTTAAGCTTTTTCCTCTCCAAGCTTCATTTTCCTCAATATTTGTCTAGGTTTAGCGGTCCGTCACGCCCCGTCCCCGTCTTCACCGCCGTCGATCACCCGTGCCAATCTCATCGGCGGCACCACCGTGGTGAGCCTCTTGTTCTTATCTTCTTTCTAAAAGGAAAAATATTCTTACTTGTATGTTTAGATAGATACTTGTATTATTTTCTTACTTTTATTATTGCATCTTATATAGTGCAATGGTTTTGGTATCCGCCCCCATCGGCCCTCGTCCTGTCTATGATTCGGATGTGGTATATATATTATCTTTTCATAACTATTGGTTCATTTATTGTTTATGAAAATTATGCCGACCAACGTGACATAGATTTTATTTATCTAGGAGGTTGTTGAGCCAGAAATTCCAACCGACCATATTGTCGAGAGGTTAAATTTAGTTGAAGAAGAAAACAATTTCTTGAAGAAAAATAAGAAAAATTGAGGAGGAGAAGATGATATTGGAGTTGCATGTTGCGGATGTCGTCGATGATCACAAGATCAAGATGGATGCAATGCGCTTGAAGATTAGAAAGATTAGAAAATATGCCATTCATACCGAGGCTTGGTATCATTATGCAGTTGGATCAGTTGTTACCTTGATTGCGATTATGATCGCATTTGTTTTCGCATTGAAATGTTTTACATAGTTTCAATGTATGGTTTAATTAATTAGATGCTCTGGAGAGCTATATGTTGTTAGATGAGAACTATGTATGTACTTTGGTTTTAATGTAATGATGAACTTCTATTAATTTGGTCACTTATTTATCTATTCATGATGTTCTGTAATGGTTTTTGACACACTTAATTATATATAATGCACGCAGATGAACCGGCAATGGATGTACTGTGACCGACACACCTCCAAGTACATTAAGGGCGTGCATGATTTTCTCGAAGTGGCTGAGGCAAACAAGCAGAATGGTTTTATATGTTGTCCATGCCCTATATGTGGGAATACGAAGTCTTACTTTGACCGGAAAATCCTTCACACCCACCTGCTTTACAAGGGTTTCATGCCACACTATAATGTTTGGACGAGGCACGGAGAAATAGGGGTTATGATGGAAGACGGCGAAGAAGAAGAGTACGATGACAACTATGTGCTCCCTGAATACGGTGATGCTGTTGAACATCAAGAGAAACCAGACGATGTGCACGATGATGCTGCAACGGGCGAAGCTGCTGAAGATCAAGAGGAACCAGACGATGTACCCGATGATGATGATCTCCGCCGGGTCATTGTCGATGCAAGGACGCAATGCGAAAGTCAAAAGGAGAAGCTGAAATTCGATCGCATGTTAGAGGATCACAAAAAATTGCGAAGATGGCAACACAAAGTTCGGTACCATACTGAAATTGTTGTAGTGGAAGGCAGAGAATGCTGTGCTTGACAAAGAATTTGAGAAGCTACTGAAAATATTGAAGAAGAAGCTTCCAAAGGATAATGAATTGCCCGACAGTACATACGCAGCAAAGAAGGTTGTATGCCCGCTAGGATTGGAGGTGTAGAAGATACATGCATGCCCTAATGACTACATC